TGCAAATTAACACGAATAACATGATTCGTTACAAGTAGCCTAAGCATAATACTTTTCGGTTTCTCTCCATCCAGCTTCAATAACCGCATATCTAGTAAAGGCTTGCGATCTACACTTTTTCTGGTCATTTTTCATAATCCTTTGTAGGAAGAGTACGTCATGCATTTGTAATAACTGTTTCATAGGTGTGTTACTTAACGAGAATTCAGTGCAGCAAACTTTTGATCACGTCGAATCTGGTGTCCTATACCAACTGTCACATTTAATACCCAGTTGTGCTAAATTTAATTAGGGCGTTCTTAAAATTAATTAATTACAAAAAGTCAATGCTAATCTCTTCATTCATGCGCCTACAGTACCTTAATGTGCTATCCATGTGCATGCGTATGTAAATTATGATAAATTTCTGTGCGATCGCCGTTTATAAAATTTCCATCCAGGTAAATTTTATGAGAAGTCGGCCTTTCTAATTTATCCAAAATCAAATATATGGCATCCAGTTTAAATATGAATTTGTTTATGCATTGGCCTGTTATAGAATAATAAATATTTGCTCTCTCCCACGGCATTAATATTGGGTCTAGTTTTACTACATGTCCATGATTAGCATGATTTTTTATTAAAAGTGGAAAGAGAAGTCTGAGCCAAAGCCGAGCATGAAATGACGTCTTTTTCCGACTGCATTTCAAGGTGCAATTGTTAGTCCATTCATCCATGTATAGTCGCATATACAATATATGGTTGCGGGGAAAATCAAATTTACAAATTAGAAGTTTATTTTTTATCTCATTCACTGTTTATTCATTATTATATAATAATTTTAAGACACGTATAAATGGAATACACAGTACTCTGTCAACCTTCGCGTTTTAGCGAGTGTTTTAATTGTTTTTTTTTTATATATATATTCTTTTTAGTATGCAAATTGATATGCATTGATAGAAATGATTTAATTCGAATAAATAAAATACGTTTATTTTTAGCTTTCTTACCAGTACAATACAACCCAAAACTATGGAATCAATTTATAAATGTCATTTTATGGCAAATAAGATTAAAAGAATTCAGTCCCCAACTGAACAATGCCTGTATAATTAATTACAGCTGGAACATACACCTGTGTTGAAATAGGCCTATATATAAATCTAGTATAAAAAAAAAAAAAGTAAAATGATAAACAGTATTAATGTGCATGAAACTATTCCCTATGAGTTTAACTACTAATGTACAATGCTCAATTTTTCATTTTATTTCTTTTTTGTAAATGATGGAGCAATTAAATTAGAATCTCTCAGTTTTATTGTACCTGTAAATCATTCCCAAATTGCAGTGTTAATTGCATTATCATTCCTGAAATTAATAGCGTTAATTGTAGTTGTGGTATGATACCAGTACACAGATAGAGGCCAGCTCTCTACATGGTGAAATCAGACTGGTCTTACCCGTGAGCACGATGGCAGTGTATGGATGTCACAGTCAGTCTGTCGTCAACCTTCGTTTGTAAGTTTTGCGCTGAGTCACGACCAAAGACGAGAGAAAAGGACGACGTACAGTGTGGCCAAGCACCACCGGAACTGCGGCCAGGCCATGGAGGTCAGTGGGAGAGACGAGTGGAAATTGCCTGCTGGTGGACTGGTCTTAGGTTCCTTCTTCTTTGCAATGGAGGGTGCAGGTTCTTGAACTACAAAACATTGTTGTAAGACCCACCTGGAGCTTGTATTGTTACCTGGCACTGAATGGACACTGTGAGACAAATGAATGATAATGAAAATTAATCAGCTGGTGGAAAACACCAAGAAACTGTAATGATGGGCACAAATCAGTGCTGATGCAACAGGCAATGGGTGCCTGTCGGAAATGCGGCGTAAACAAGTGATGCAACAGTCGGACGGTACACTTCTGAAAGTCAGTGTAACAAAGTGTAACATCTTACACGTGGATGACGTGGCGGGTTTGATGACAGGTGGCGGATAAACCAGGAGGTGAGCTGGCTTTTCTACACCCCCAGATTGCTCTCTTGGTGCCATATTTATAGATTTTTGGCTAAACAATTAAGTTTTATTGGTGTTCAATTCTAAAGCAAGTCTATTGAGTATGTGGCAGTTGACTTTATTCATTAGGCAAATATACATGAAGTGTAAGTGCATGTAAGACAAATAAATCGCACCCCTGCCAATGAAGCTTAATATGAATCTATTAGGTCTGGAAAAGCTGTTGGCCAACATGAGGATCCAGAGAACATTGTCAACCATGTTAAGGTGGAGTGATGTCTGATAAAGGTATAAAGAGAAAATAACTGGACTTCTTGGTTTTCAAATCTCGGATCCTCAAGAAAGTCGTGACACGGCTATGAAATGATAACATGGAGTTTAGGAAAACAAGGCCCTTAGGGGAAGACCGCAGGGTGGCAGCGATGTCATCAGCACCAAGCACATTAACAGACCCGGTAAAACTCACTGCTTTCATGGTGCTCCATAGTATGGTTTAATCGTAGCCAAAAGCACATCACATTTTCACTTTAACTTGGCAGATTGCAAAGCTGAAGGCTTCGATACTCTGTTTGTTGATGGGAGTGTTTCCAGTGTCAGAGTCCATTCAACACCTCGGAACCAAGGCATGATTCCGACGTTCAGGTGGTGCAGACTGCGGTGACTTTAATGGAGTGCAAGGTCTCATAAGGTTCAGTGGTTAGAAGGTCTGTGTCCATTGCTAAGGTGTACATCAGTGGCAAGCATTCCCACTTAAACTAGTCTATTGCTGTTTCAGGACATGAAAAGAGAGACTCTCATTTGAAGTAAATGCAATTTAATGATAGCGGTTGACTCCATTCTACAAAATGCACGAAATAGCTGTTAGTTTATTGTGAATTCTGACTAAGAGTTCTATTCCACACATTTGGTTGTATCCACCTGCTAATATTGCAATTGGCTGGCTTGTTGATGCTTGCTTCTGATCTATCTGATCGCTAACTAGACATGTCATTTACACAAGTTAGGTAGGGGCCCCTAGCGAAGAACCTGTCATTAAGTAGGTTTTTTTGAACCTCGATGTCATTTCTATTGTCACCGTAAACATTTAATATCAATAAATATATATTTTTTCCTGTTACTTGCTTGTATGGGGAGGATATTTGTTTCTCCAGCTGATAATCAATTACAGTTAGTCTCATAAGTTATGACTTATCTGACTGATCGACTAAGAAACCCACTGCAGCTCAAAGTTTTCTTGTTCATTTGATGTAAAGTGTCTGGAGAACTGCAATGTGTGAGATTTTAGTCCCTAATCAATAAACGAGCAGTTCTCCAATTGTGTTGGGAAATTAAAGAGATATTACATGGAACACATTTAAGTGCTACGTACTTCATGCTTTATTGTTATTTACAAGCGACAGCAGGTAAACGAAGACTTAAACAGAATGACAGAAGAAAACGCCTGTGAATGGAGTGAATTCTCCTGGAATAGGATGGATGGATGGAACCATAAAACATGAACAGTCTGCTCTGACATACAAATGCATACAGCTCTGTTCAAAAAGTGACCAGGATCTCTCACCATTTCTCTATACTCGTACAAGTTCAAATATGAGTTATAATTTAAAAACACAATGCAAAGCGCAGGTAGGATAAAGAAAAAACATTTTAATACATTCAGAATCTTTCTCAAGTATCACTCCTGCACCTTCCCACAGCAATCGGCTAACACAACACGCCTGATAAGGAGAATACAATTCGCTTAGGTTATCGGTGGTGCATGTATGGGTTCAGTAACCTTGCGGTCAAGCAGGAGTTGACAGTCCTGTCAAGTATAGGACAGTGGTTTCAATTTTGCAATACTGCTAAAACATGTCAAAAAGATCAATTAGTAATAAAAAAAAGGTTAGAAGCTGTACTCGGGGGTCTATGTTGTTGTTGGCAGCTTTCTAACTCCTTGATATTTGTTGCGTGCCTTTATGTTTATCCAGACTAAATAGTTATATAACTGTAAATAAGGATTTTTCTCCTTTTTTAGATCTAATTTGAACTCATTCTTAAACTCACGTGTACATAAATGGGCTCATGAAAAAACTACGTTATTGGTGACACTAATTTACAATGTATACGGAACCTACTAAAGATATTTATCTTATGGGTAAAGTCATGGGTAAAGTCAATATATCATTTTAAAATAATATATATATATATTTAAATCCACTTTTAGTCATTTTAAATGAGCTTTGCCGTAACACATGAAAGATAGAATGTTTTCTAATCTAAAAATGCAGGATGTGTAAACATCTGTTTGATGGTAAGGGTCATAGCCTTCTCTGACAAGACACAGCATCCATCAGTCAAACAAGACTAATTAATATGTAAACAGTACGTACTGCATATGCAGAAATGCCATCTGCATTTGCGAGAAATGGACATTTCCATTGGCTTCCTACATTCTTTGGACCACATTTTCAAAAAGGAGAGCACCCCCATTGCAGTTTTTTGGTTCATCCCCCCTCAAAAGCAACAGCATACAAATAAGCTCCAAAACACAGTCCCTCAGAACACCAACACTGAACAGTCAGTTTCCTTAAAACCATTATCTGCAGATTACAGACTACGGGGGACAGCAGCATGTCTGTGTGGCCTGAAATATCAGCACAATGCAGTATGTAGTGTAAACAGACGTCCCATTCAGGGATGACACAGTCCCTGGAAGAAATCTGTACGCCACCAAGATTGGGAGTTACTGGTTATGGAGGGGTAGAATGGAGAATGTACTGCGATTCCCTATTACTTAATCCAATTTAGAGCTGATCACAACATGCAGATCCAACTCAAGCTTGTTCGACCTACAGTGACCTACCTCTTCCCCAGCATCACACTCGCACCAACTTGAGAGAGGGGGGGGTCGCAAAACATCGGTCCTGTTCCATCAAACACAAACACTTCCGCGATGCCAACTGCACCACCTTCCAGTCACTTCCGTTTCCATTTGCCGTGGGGGGTGCAATCGGATGAAGGTCACAGCTCAAGGCCGCAAACCTCTTCAGCATGCAAGTTCCTTTCTCGTCCCGCCCACACGTTCCCCCGTTGGGGAATATTTGCTCTTTCTCAGGTCATTCACACTCACTGAAGGGATTTTTGGGGGGGGGTGGGGGGTGTTGATATTTAATCAAAAATGTAGCACTGAGCCAATCCATCCATATTAATGGTAAGGTCCGAAGGATGAGTGGTTGTCGTCTTCTTGGTTTGGCAAAAGCCACCAGCACTGCCGAAATATTCCCTGTCGGCTTTGAATACCAACCATCCATAAGGAAGTGTATAGCCACTATTAGGTTAATTAAATTCATGAAGAATTAAATCACTCCATTAAGGGGGATAGCTTAAAACAAACCAAGGGTGAAAATAGTTTCTCATTAAAAAGGTAATAAAAGAGTTTAATGGGATTCACTCCAACTTGGAAAGTGACTGATGTATTTCCAATATAAGCCTCTTATTAAGAAGCTTTTTTCAAGTGATGGAAGTAGGGTTCATCCCTGGAAGAACTCCATAGTACAAAAAGTAGAGGGAGAAGAGGGGCAAGCATCGTGCCAGTGTCTCGCAAAGGGTCAGGTGAAGGTGAAGCTTGGGTCATGGGAGTGGCCAGATGAAGGCGGAGCCTACGTAGGCATGGTCATGGGAGTGGCCAGATGAAGGCGGAGCCTAGGTAGGCATGGTCATGGGAGTGGCCTGATGAGGCGGAGCTTAGGGGGGGTTCCAGTCACAGGAGTGGCCAGGGCAAGGCGGAGCCTATGGTTGTCCCCGCCCCTTTGGGTGGACTCAGATGAATGTGGAGTCCAAAGTGCTGTTGTCATGGGCACTACGAGCTCGTGCCTCAAAAAGCTGCTTGATAAGAGCAGATTTCTCCTGTTCTAGCTGGGTAATCCGCTCGCTCTTTTCAGTCACTTCCTGAGCACAAACAAAAAGCAGAGGAACAGGGGAAGGGATGGTGTTGGGAAGAGAAAAGGCAGAGAAAAGGACAGGAAAGACTGTTCAGTGGCAGATTCAGAGATAAAACTGGAGCAGGGTTGCAGAAAACAATGGCTTATTGATTTTTTTGATGATTGTGTAAATGTCAAGGGTTGTAGCAGAGTCTGACCTGGGTGAGGAGCCGGTTCTGGTCCTTCAATCTCTGAATGGCATTTGGTGCAGTTGGGGGAGGTGGCTGTGGGTTCAAGGGGATGGCCGGTGGGGGAGCACCATGAGATGTGATGGGCTACACAAGTGAGGAGGAAAAAAAAATGTGACTTTGAAATTCCTGCTCAATACAGAGGCCTTTGCTCAGTGAATATCTGCTAACTTCAGGAAAGGGACCCCAAGGGTGGAGACAGTGCTAGCTTTGGCCCACCACACAAGAAAGTAACTATCCATTAAAACCAGGTAACATAAGGCAAACATGTTAGAAATTTTTTCAGCAGGATCAGTGTGCATTTGTTATATGCAGAGTTACCAACAGATGTTGGAAGCACCGACAAACCGACAAGAAGGTGAAACATGAAACAGGGCGACTCTCACTAACCATTCCGGAGCAGGAGATGAGATCACTCAGGCAGCGGTTGACGTCCTGCAGCTTAGGAAGCAGGAGGTTCAGACGGCCCTGACCGGACTCCGGGAAGAGATCCTGGAGGTGATGATAGTCGAAATAAGAACAGAAAACAGTGTGTCAGGTCTTACTAACCACACTGGTGGGGCATCATGTTACCATGCTGGTGGCAGCTAACGTTAGTCAGCCCGGCCATTATTTTAAGATTAACCTGAGGCGGTTTTGATAGCTTGGATGCAAGCAGCAGAATCAGGATCATATTCACCGTGCTGGGGTTGGTCTGGCCCATTTGCCTCTGCTTCTCTGCCACATTCTGGATCTGGTTCTGGTACCACTCCCGGGCCCGTTCTATGACGTCCAGCCCAGCAAGCAAGGAGTCCTTTTCCTGCTCCAGTTCCTTCATCTGCTTCAGCTAGGTGATGGCAAAGAAGGAAGATGGGACCTTATTCACCTTTTGTAGCAATGCATTATGGGTAATCCGTTGCTGAGGTGCCTGGAGGTCATTTCATTTCAGGGAATTCAAATGACAAGGAGTTTCGCCTCTAAAGACAAAAAAATGCACTTAAAATACTGTCAGCGTTGATTCATAATATGGAAATAGAGCTGGCAGCTCCTTGGAGCAGCTTCCTCCTGAAGTCATTCTGAAACACTGGCCCATTCCCAGCCTGTAGTCATGGCAACGGCAGGCAGCGCTTCACGCTCCGTAAAACCCGGCTTTTGGACACAATTGCACCTCCTCCTCGCACCTTCAACTGTTCACTAACTTACGCGGCACATTCGCTCCTTTCACGCCGTTTTTAACGACATTTTAAATAGCTACTTATTGATAAGCATATTTTCAAACAACAGTGAAATACGGACGTTTGTTTGAAAATAACAATGTCACTTATCCCAGGACCTATTAATCAGAGCTACGGCCAGAGAATGGGTGAACGTGGGGGGTGGGTGGGGTGGGGACGGGGGTGGGGGAAGTGGCAGCCATTATATGGGGAATAAAGTGCAACCCAAAATGTCAGGCTGTGAGTCTGAGTGGTGGGCCGGAAAAATGCACTTTCTATAGGGCTGAACAGGGTGGGGGGTTTACTACACAATGGGGGGAAATTCTGCACGGCTGAAAGAGCAGAAGCTGGAGATGATACAGCTGGGGTCTTGCGGCTTACATCTATTTCTAGGCTCGCAACATCGCCAACAGGCCCAAAAGCGAAAGTCACACCACGGCCTCCACCAATAAGCTTCCATGAAACAAAACACAGCCACAGACGGACAGAAGGGCACCGAGCGAGAGCCTCACCCTTCTGCATCCATCTTCCTAAAGAAAAACGTCACTCAGCACCGGCAAAATCGAGGGTCCCGTGCCCTCCCAGACATCAGCTCAGCTCTCCTGAACATCGCAAATCTTATCAGCAGCAGACAGGCAGTCAGTCAAAATATCAGCCCACGGACACCCTGTACTCCTACAGAGCTTCACCTCTTAACCCCTTGTCTAAATATTGACATGCGGCATACATCACAGATAAACATTTGGCTCCCAGTCCAAGCACTGCCCAACTGCCAGTCCTACCTGCTGTCTCCCTCCAGTTTTAATCCTCCCACTCACCCAGAGGAAAAACTGCAGTGCCTCGCTGCTACACAGGCTGCTGCTCAAGGGGATGAAGACTGTCGTGTAGGCTGCCCAAACCGCTGTCCATGCTGGGCCAGGTTGACCAGGCGAGTCCCCTGCTCCCAGGCCCCTTGGCCCGACCCGACTCATTACCATGGGGACAGACGCACGGCCGGCCGGCCGGGACAGGGGAATGGGGGGAGGGAGGGAAAGGGGCGGTGCCGAAAGAGAGCAGAAGAAGGAGTGCAGCAAGGAGAGAGACAACAGAAGAGAGTATGTCTAGCTGCTTTGAGGGAAAAAGAGAGGGAAGCAGTGGGGGAAAGAGGGGAGTGAATAATGTGGCAGGACAGGGGAAAAGAGAAGAGGAGGGACAGAGTGGGGGGGGAGTGGGGAGGGGGAGGGCACAGGAATATAACTTGTTGACACAAGTTTGGGTAGCGGCCCATACAACAATTACAACGCATTCAGGCAGCTTTAGCGATGGCTACGGCCATGCATTAGCCCATCGCTAACACGATCGCCCCGGGGGAGATTTATATAACCAGGATTTACATACTTATCATGCCTATAACTGGACGTATGATTAGGCAGCTCACGATAGCTAGCATTCCCCATCCAAAAAAAGGCACAGCAGTGACACCCCGCCCAGGATCTGATTCCTGGGACTTTGCAGTCACAAAGCCATTAGGTCACAAAGCCCCTGGACCTTGGAACAGCTCCTCAGTCACCCCTTTTTCCATTGTCTTTTTTTCCCTTTACCCAGAATGCAATGCTGGCACTCTGTGACACTGACCAGTCCTGAAGCAGATATATTTTACAAACTATAAATACAACTTCATCTGGTTGTATCCAGTTGTTGCGAAGCAACCCCAGCCTTATCCCGCCTGTTCACCTAATGAACTCTGTTACCTAACCTCCTGCTTATCTCTGGCTCGCCAGGAAACACTGCTGGAAAGCAAGGGCGCCACCCCTTGGAAACCTCTGGCCACCTCTGTGGCCACCCCCAAATGCAGCTGTAGAGATTTTATTTCATAAGCGAATCCATGGAAAGCTGTGGTGCGCCGCCGGGCCACCAGCCGCACGGGCCACCAGCCGCACAGGCCACCAGCCACACAGGACGCCGGGCCACCAGCCGCACAGGCCGCCGGGCCGGTAGCCGCACAGGCCAGTAGCCGCACAGGCAGGTCCTGCCCTCAGTTTGCGCAGTCAACTCGTTTACACCACAACACTCCTGAATGAACACGTCCGTAAAACCTTTGATTTTACATGTGGTTTCTCCTGGACGAGCCGGGATTATTCTTGCTGCATTTTAAATTAATTACCTGTATTTTTAATTATTTAGCAATGTTCCACTCAAAACACACTGGAATGGAATAAACCGAGCTAGCTAGATTCTAATGATTATTATTATTATTGATATTATTCCTTGGTGTTTCTACCACCCCATAAAAATTATTGGCAACCCTATGAAAAAAATTCTGCTGGCACCGCTGCTGGAAACTCAGGAAGGCTGATGACAGAATGAAAAGCTGGTCCACTTCCTCAGACAAAAAACAGAACAGATGCCCGGGTCTGCGGCTGTGTGCTTAGTACCGTTCCATAGTCTACCCCGTTGCTGATGGTGTGGCGCCTCTGCTCCCCTCTGCTCCGCCCATGCCGCCTGGCTCCAGCCAATCCCGCGGTGGTCTCACTCTGCGACCGGGGCAACCCTCTGCCCTCATCGCCACCTGCACAAACAGAACATGGGGCCCAGAGGTGAACTCTACATACAACCCGCCATTGTGCTGAGACTGCAGGAGCGCGCTGCGGCTCCCAGGGACGCGAGCCCTGCTGGTGAGGCCGGGCCTTTTGGCAAACGATGTCACATCATCAGCAATTCAGCGAAAATTCAAAAAGTCTGTGAAAATTTGACACAATGAACACAGAAAAGCATACATCCATGTAAATGTACATAAATCAGCAAACACACAAAAATCCCTCATTATCAAATTTAGTTTTATTGTTAAGTTTAGACAGAACACTCACTTTGGCTGTCTTCTTTGTGGCTTGTAGTACATTTCAGTTTTATTTCAGCTTTTAAGCCTGATAATATGTGCGACTCAGACCAGGTTAAGTACATTCAGCTGCCCCTTAAGGTAACAGACCTTATACAACTACAAGACAACACAGTAAATTACAAAGCAAAAGCAAACATACACGGATGTAGAGACACAGCAAAAAAAGGCATCCAGTTAATGCAAAGGGATGAACAAACCTACCAAATTCATAAGGTGACTCTGCTCATAACATTGTGTAAATAGGAGCCTTTCAAAATAGACCCAAGGAATCCAGATTTTACAAGTCTGTTATTCTCTCCTATGCACTTCCTTTTGGTCCTGACCACAACTCAAATCATTGTCACGAATATTCAAATTCTATTAGCGTTAAATCAACTGCATATAACCAGTACAGAGTCCACAAAACACATAAATTGGCCTTCCTCTTTTCCTTTGTCTTCCTCCTAATTTATGCACCACCACTGATTCTGGGTCAGTCTGGGGCAGGTGGAGGAATTCCTAGTGGAGCACTTTACTAATATCGCCTTGGTAGCACTTTTACAAATACATGCTTGTTTTGGAAAATAGAACCTCATTTCAGGTTAGGTTTTGTTTGTCTTACATTTACATTGACGGTATTTGGCAGAGGCTCTTAGCTAGATCGACTTGCATTGTCTTGCACAGATGTAGCAAATAATATTTCTCATTTGGACAAATACATATAAATACAGCAAAGGACGTCTATTTTGAAGCTATTAATAGGTGTAAAACATGGATAATGTCAATTAAAGCTCACTAAGAAATTAAGGGCGATTCTAGTATTTGACCGTGGTATACCCGTAGTGGCCAGTCGGTGGGCCGCTTAGTTGTTTTGGTCAGAAACAACATTATTTGATATGTTTAAAATTATGCCAGTCAGAAATAAAATAATTGCACAACTTGAAAATTCTATAACAACGCTTAAGAATATTAGCCAGCTAGTTCGCTCACGCGCGCGCGTGCACGCACACGAACAATAGACCACGGTTGTTCTGCATTGAGACACGCGCAAATAGGCGGCACGCGCGTCGATGTAATCGCTTGTCATTGAGACCTGAAAGAGCGCAGCGCGCGGTTACGGAGGTGCCGTAACTTGCTGTTGCCAAGAGGTTCTAGAACCGCCTGTGGTTAAACGCCACCGTGCAGACAGCCGAAACCCACTTCTGCGAAGCAGCCATCATTGCTGTTCTCTGCTTTAAGCAAAATGGCCACTAGAGGGAGTTATACTAACGAGTGGATTTTGACCTGGATTTCTGCAACCATGTAAAAAAGAACAAATCAATGGGTTTGAAAACAGAAGCCAAAGGCAGGACCTGAGAATTAAAGGTGGCAAGGTTAGACAGATACAACACCGACAGATCAGTGCCTAAAGTGCAGAGGATTTAGAGGGCTGCCTCTCCTGGTGATTGCCCAGCAGACGTAACAGACCTCAAAACGTTAATCACTAAGGCTGGCAGTATTTTTCTACAGTTCTTTCACTGTTAGAGGCTGTCCTGATTTTGCATTCTTACTTTTTTTCCTACCCCACCCATGTATTTAAATACCTGTCAACTTTAGAGTTTTGTCACATGGCCGGTGAATTTCAAGGTGATGGTGGGTAACTGCAGCAATGTGGATTTCAATGCTGGGGACTTATGCCTTACATGAAACGTGACATCATCATATTCAACCACAGACAGCAATGGTACTTCATCTTAAAATCAGCTTACATCCTATAGATTAATACTTCCATTTCTCCCCATACAATATTAGTGTATTATGAGTGTAATACTGCTTCTTTTTTTTTACCCATAAAGTGTGTAATTAGTAAGACAATAACAGATGTGCATCACTAATCGAACTCTGTGCGCACATTTACATAGGACAGGGTGTGGGGAGTAATTTTTAATTAAAATTGCCCGTAGTCACATCAATTTAATTGGTGACTCAGAAGTTGATTTTCTTCATCCCTTTATAAGTCAGGTGAGTCAGTGTGGCATGGGAACACCCAGTAAGGTACCATTAGTAGACAACTGACAAAGCTGGCCACCTCAAGGTTGTTGTGTACAGGTGGTCTTGTATACATGTGTGCTCTGCATTATATAAATGTTTTAAACTGCCTAACATGTATGCTGTACATAATGCTAGTTCACACACCATCTAGTATTTTTATACATATCCCTTTAATTTATCCTTTGTTTTTATCTTACTAACCACCCCCATTTTTAATCAACTTAACCGTTACAGAGTACAGAGTAATTTAATAAGGGCAGCCATCTCATTTACAGGAGCCAGTTTTGTTCACAACAAAGCTCACAATCCAGTGGAGAAAAGCAGTGTGGTTAGTCAATCACCTATAAGACTAGCTCGGATTTACTGTCAAAAAAGTGAACCCAAGACAGTGTGGGGGGTATCTACTCCTAGGTACTGGTACACCGTGTAAAAGCACAAACTAGTTCTTCTGTAGACAGCTCACAGCTAATCCAGAGCACGACAGCAAGCCTCGACAAGCACTGCTTTCCCTAGTTACCGCCTCCCCACCCTGCAACACATGGGGTGAGACAAGAGACAATCCAGTGGAAATCAGGCAGCAACGAGGAAGAGGGCTCCTTAGACGCAGAGCTTGATATCCAGTCGGCCACTGGATGCAGGTTCTGCATTTGCAGATTCAATCGACAATGTTTGGGGGGAAAAAAATCCAGAAAGTTCCAAAAAGAGAAATTTGAATTTGCCACGCATCAAGTACTACACTAAATACACACAAATGAAGAGAAAGAATATATTAATATTTTCTGTATTCGTAACTATAATTTCTATATGTACTGTGATGGCTGTGTCTGTACTGAACATGTACAGACTTCTTTTCTGTGTCACTATTCCCTAAATAATACAGTATAATATCTATTTACATGGCATTTTCCTTGTTTTCGTTCTTATAAGTAATCTAGAGATGATTTAAAGTACCATGGAAGATGTGGGTTGGTTATACACAAATACTACGCCATTTTACATAAGGAACTTGAGTATCTGTGGATTTTGGTGCTCCTGGAGGGGTCCTGGCCCAATCCCCTTGGATACCGAGGGACAGTACTGCTTTTTATTCACAGATTATTTCCAAGCCTGTCTTCTGTGCCCCATCTAGGATTAAAACCCACTAAATCCTGGCCAGAGTGCTCATTACTCATTTTTCCCACTTACTTGTTTTATGTTTTTGCCCCATCTCCATAATCCCACAATAGATTTCTTGCCAGTTTCCCACAATCCCCCATGCTGTCTCAATATTACCCAATCAGGACATAACCCCAGTGCTACCCGTGGCTCCCAGAAGAAACAGGCTCCCAGAGACGTGTTACTATAGGATTACTGCTCTCTGCTGCCACACCTCAATCACCAACAAGATGTAATCCGCTATAATCCACAGTATGTGCAGAGATTACGCCACTGTGCTCTCCAGTCTCACCCAAATGGTGCAAGTAACCAGGGTTTCTGGCCAGTAGGGTCAGATTTAGAACCACAGATCATTTTGACTGAGGGTTAGTAACAGTAGTCATTTGATATATAGGAGCCAATATCGTTTTAAATCAAGCTCACAATCCAGTCATTCTTATAGACACCTATAAGACTAAAAATGCTATATATAAAACTGTTTAGTTCATATCCTGCTGGAGTTTATTTTGCAGAGAATCAGCATAATATTTGCATGTTCTGTAAATCTGGGCTAGAATCAATGCAAATGAACCCACCCCATGGTTAAACAGTTTGTCCTGTGCCACTGGGCTAAAATTATATTTACTACCAATGTCATTTAATCCTGCCATTTTCCACCATCAAGTGAGATTTAAGATGCAACATGATGACTCAATGAGTAGCACTGTCACCGCACGCCTCCAAGGTTGGATGGATTGCGTCCCAGCCCCACTGTGTGTGTGGAATTGCATACATTATTGATCTGGTTTCCTCCTACAGGGCAAAACCGTGTGGTCGGGTGAACCTGGGCTAATTAACCGGACCTCCCCTGGCCGCATGGTCAATAGAGATGGGTCGGACCTCCAGCAGAGTCCTGGGTGATGTCAAAGCACAGTAATTGTTGTGATAATGCGGTACGCCGTTTGCATGTATTTCGGAATCTGCTTCACACCATCCCAAATCCTCCGGGGTGATCAGTCAACAAACGTGCCGCGACTCATCGAAGCGCGCCTCAGCCCTGAATCACCGATTAGCACCGTGTATTTACGAGAAAAAGGATAAAGACCCAGCCCTAGATACCAGCAGGAGGGTGCCAGGAAGAGTGGACTCGGCCCGTTATTTGCCTAACCTGCAAATTACAGCCACCTCGGCGGTACAGCTGCATGCATACAGGGAAGACATTTGAGTCCAGGGAAAAGGAACGAGTGCCTGTCCCCTCTGGACATGTGGCATCGACAAAGCTTTCGGGTTAATCCAAATCCCCCCCAACCACAATCCAGAGTTAGTGCACCTGGGGGATGCCATGCCCCCTTCAACACTGAACTACCAGCACCCTTCATTTTTGGCATGCATTATCAGATTGCGATGGCGTAAAATGAAAGGAATTAATTTTACATAACGTACGACCAATATACCTTAAATGTGCTGAGGTACCTCGGATATAATTAGCTGGAATTAAAAAGCAAAATGCTCGCTCAGCACAAAACTTACTTCCTTTGTGGATCTGTGGCGACTCCAGTGCCAGTGACTCTATCGATCGGACCTTGCTCCGGCTTGGACCTTGCTGCGGCTGTTTCCCATTTCTGACCGAATCGGCTGCATGCGGACCGCTTTCGGGTGCAACCGGGATCCGCTCCAAACTTCTACCCGTCCTGTCGTACCCGGCGTTGCTGTACCGTGCGGTGACGCTTGGGGCCGTAGTGGGTCCCCACTCCCCTTGGCAGGCAGGGTTTGAGTCCTCATGTCTGGCCCGGTTCTGCTGCGTATTTACCGCATTGCTGGGTCCCAGTGGGCGCACGTTATTCTCCACAGTACGGGCACCGGGGGCGCAGCCCTGTGATTTCACCCCAGGCGCTTGCCGTGGTTGCGGAGGACCTTGCTTCTGGCCGGTGGAATGCAAGTGTGGCTGCCGCTGGGGAACCCCGGACCGGGGCTTTAAGTGTCCGTTGTCGGGGTTGAGCATCGAGTACCGAAGTCCTGCCACGAAGCGCTCAAACGTCAAGTAACCGTGCGGTGGGGCGACCCGCCGCAGGCACTCCAGCACCCCTCCCGGCAAATCCTGCGTGTCGGCTCCCTGCCACCGGCTCTCGATCTCGGATATATGCACATATCCCTTCTTCCCATCATCCAGGATATCAAACAGCGTCCGCAGACTGTGCAGGAATGCCTTGGGCAGGCCGTCGGTGGAAAACTCCGCTTCAGTTGGCTTCATTTTCCTGTCCCTGTGGTTGCGCGCACTTTGAATAGTCTCTCTTCCAGCTTCAGGTTTATTGCAAATAGCTATAGAGCAGTTCACTCTGCAGTTGCGATCAGCAGCAATCAAAGCCATGAAGGGTATGGTATATCTTATAACTAGATGTCGTGTTGAGTGTCCTAAAATAATCAAAATGCCGATGATTACACAAATTAAATAACGAACTTTTTATTTTCAAAAAGTTTACCTCATACCCTACCGCAAAGGTAAATACATGCCTGTCATTCCTTCCAGTTCTTCAATTTCTTTTTCTAAGTGGGATGGTTCGATTTTTTTAACAGGACCGCCTTCAAACGTCACAAAGCATTTTTCCCCAACTGCAGCCCTGTCATTGGCTGCGCTGCCGATTGCCGGACATTGATTGGTTGAAACGTAAAGCAAACCCAAGTTTAAGTTTTGGCTTTTGTCTGTTTGAACGCGCAGCCACATTGTCCGGTATCAATTATCACACCGATAGGAAAGGCTGCTGTGGGCTGAAGCCATAAAAACTAAAGCCAGCCGTTCTCTTTTTCAAATTTATATTGTAAACACATGTGCGAAGCGTAGACAATAGTCGTCCGTTAAGGAAAAGAGATTAAATTGTATTGCAGTTTAATGACGGTAAATTTACCTAGGCTATGTGTGAAAGAGTCAGAGCTTTAATAATTATATATCACACTCGATTTGAAATAAAGAATTCTCACGGTGTAAGGTGATGTGGGGTATTTTAAACACAACGAGTATTAGGCAAGAGATATAGAGGGGTATTGTGGTGGAAGCATGCTGCTTAACCGGTTTGGTGAGCCATTTTTTTTATTTAGTAGATGCTTTTGCCAAAAGATATGCAGAATAGCTAAAGCGGGGTCAGACAGTCCCTGGAGCATTTGGGGGTTAAGGGCCTTGCTGAAGAGCCAGACTGTGAAATTACTCTGCCAATCATGGGATTTAAACCAGCAAGCATCTAATTACAGGCACAGAGCCATAACCAACCAAACCACAGGCTGACCCAGTGTGAGTCAGCACACTGATACGGCATGGTACTAGTTCAACAGGGTACCCAGGTTATCGCAGTGTTCCTAACGGAATATCTGATAGTTCCCTGTTTCAGCTGGCGCCATGGAAGGTATGCCATTACGTCATCTCCTAGTAGGTAAACGAATTCACTCCTCGAAATATGCTAATGATTACACTACACTAAGAATAGCTTTCCTACAATAATAATACGGAAACTTGTTTTGTTGTACTGGCGACCTATTAAAATGTCCATTTATTACATTTAAAGTGAATGGGGACAGTTTGAATTCTTAGTGTCCCTGGATTAATAAAACATAATGACTGAATCAATGCCCTCATATCAACTGCACAAGGTCATAAGAGACACGTACGAATGCAGTGAAGAGTGGGCCAGGCAGCATGTCAATGGAAACATCAATAGTGAGAAAGCTTTAACCCTGACCTGCAAGTCCAGAGATTGAACCCATAATTTTTATTAATGACGCTATATTTTACCTTCGTTAATATAGCAGACATTTTGAACGAGTGAATGAATGTTATGCTTCTCGAGACACCCAAAGCGCTTTTCAGAATCAGTAGGGAGTCACTTCAACCGCCACTGTACAGCAACCATCTCGATGATGCGGCGGCAGCCATTCTGCACCATCACCTTCACCACACAGTAGCTAAGGTGGAGAAGGGCCAGGAGAGTATTCACCAATTACATGGCCAGATTATGAAGGGGCCACAGTGGGCAGTTTAAGCCAGGGTACCACCCCTACTCTTTCAAAAGATGCCTAGTGATTTTAGGACTTCAGAGAGTCAGGACCACAGCATTACATCTCATCCATAGGATGGCACCATCACCACACTGAGACATTAGGATCCACACAGACCACAAAATGGGCTCCTTTGTTGGTCTCCCATCCAAGTACTGACCAGGCCAAAAGGTGTTTAGCTTCAGATGGACTACTTAGTTTGACCTGCAGGTGGTATGGCAGCTGACACTTAGCCACTTAGCATCATACAAGTGAGGATCTGAGAGCAGGTACAGCCTCTGCACAGCACCTGAGGTTAAGAGCCTTACTTAAGGGCATGATGGTGACATTACTCTGCTAACCACCGGGCTGGAACCAGCGTCCTTCTGATCATTGGTACAGAGTCCTAACCCACGGAACCAAAGACTATCCATTGTGAGCTGAAGCGCGACATACCCAGACAAAAAAAAGCACCATGCTGGCTTTCGAAGCAGGTAGGTGACCAGCCAGGTTTGCAGTGTGAAGGAGAAGAGCATTGGTATAGTACTCCAATGAAACAAACTCTACCCACTAACTAACCATTTACACCAAAAAATACACAGTATCGAGTATGTTTACCAGTTCCTTGAACCCCTGAGCAAATGCAGCACTTGGTTTTACATTTTTTGATCTCTTTAGCTGGTGTGCTAGGCAGAGGGGGTTATAGCTGTGGATTTACATTTAGGGGGTCAGCCGACTGATCTTTCCAACAAACTTAGGCAATGCATGTATGGCTGCATTGCTCAATATGAGCTACACCCTTACTACTGAATGGACTCAGACTGTCTGCAGGACCCTGCTGTATCACCATGCTCCCTCCACTTCTCCCTCTCTCTTGTTCTTGCATGTGCTCACACTCCACAGATAGACACAGGTGTCTTCAGTTGTTTACCAACGTGTCTCTATGCCAGTGTTTCCCAATAAGGTCCTAGGGGACCCCCAAACAGTCCACATTTTTGCTCCCTCCTGGGAGCTGAGAGGGAGCAAAAACATGAATTTTCTGGTGGTCTTCAAGGACCAATTTGAGAAACACTGCTCTATGCTCCAGTCATTCCTTCTCCCATGCATCTCATGCACACACTCAGACTCACTCCTCCTCTGTCCCTTTTCCCCAAATGCCACATCACCCACCCAAAGCACTGCTGTCTCTCCCGTTTGATATATCACTGTGCATGTGACCAGTGGATTGAAAGCTGGGCTGTTGCATAATCCTTCGTAAGGCTTTTAATCACAGCTGAGTTTGCTTGGGATATGAAATGGGACAGGGACTAAGGCAAGGGATGACATTGAAATAATTGGTCCAGTAATGCAAACGTTCTTTCCCTATCCACATTATTACTTTGTCTAGCTAAAGACTTTAAAGGTACATTAGCAATCTACCACTAAAAGATTTCCCCAAAAAACATCTATCAAAACACCAATTACAATGTATACACATATTTAATGCACACATCAAACCATCCAGTCATGTGATGGCCTGTCATAAAGATTTCCAGAGAGCTGAGAGTAAAGGCTGCATGACCTAGAAAGTGACAGTGGACCAAGGCTTACAGCAAAGCAACACTTGATATTATTATTATTATTATATTCATGTTGTACATCTGATGTTTCCACGTCTTTCCTTTAGATTTCAGTGAATTAGCATCTTAATCATATGTTGTGTGAAGGCGCTCATTTCACCTATTATTTTTACGCATCTTATGCTTTTATTATAGCTTATTATTATTAGTTTTTTATTGTACTGTGACCAATTCGATAGCCATGTTGTCACTGTTCTGTCACACTGATGGTCAGCGATGTGGGTTTATATACTTAAACATAAACCCACATTCCTAAATGCATGCTATCACTGTATATAATCTCTTTATGTATTTTATTGCATGCTTTTAATGGCTAATAAAAAGCAGCGTGTGGCTCAGTGGGCTAAGACTGTGTACCTGTAATCACAAGGTCATTGGTTCAAACCCAGCCTCCGCATGTCTGTGGGTCCTTGAGCAAGGCCCTTAACCCCCAGCTCCCTGGGTGCCCCAACAGGTGACTGCCCTTCGCGGACAACTTACTCTGCAAAGAGCAAGCTGGGGGAGGCGTAAGAACAATTTCCCCACAGGAATCAATAAAGTATCAATTAATTCAATTAATTAATTAAATCTGAAAAAACACAAAATCCTATGTAGACTCCTGTACAGAAAAGGCAGTGCTGGTATAGTAAAACTGTAGCATTTGAAACATCTAATCTGTAATCAGCTGAAATACTGACATTTGAACAAATCCAAGAATGCAACACTCACAACTAAAGAGTAACTAGAACTATAAACGAGGAAGTTAATGTCCCTTTATTTCAGATGTGTGGTTTGGTTGTGCTTTGTAGTCTTATGTGTGATGATTGAGCAGTGCTCAGTCAAGAATGCTTCTAATCTAATCTGTAATTCTTGTTCAGTGAATCTCAACTTTTTAAAAATCTACTTGAATGAAATGTCCCAAAGATGTGAATTGCTGAGCCCTGACATTAATTTGTCTGGACACAAATGACTTTCCAGATTATCCTGTAGATATACCTAGCCTATCGCCATTAACACTACTGACTTGAATTTTATGGAAGATTGTTGTACTAACCCTCATGCACTTTCAAAATGCAAGTGTCTCACTTAGGATACAAGTGTGAAACATGACTGGATTACAAGAAAGGAAAGGGTTATGGAGTGAAAAAATCAGAATTACAGCAGCCTTCGGATTGCTCCTTAAAGATTCACTGCTTTGCCTGGTCCTCTGATCCGTTCCTTGGCAAATGTTGACCATCTCACAAACAGCTCAGCTCCATCCCAAGGTCTTCTTCCTCAGTAAACTCACTTCATCTTACCCCAAATCGCTCCTTAAATCGCTGATTGCTTCAATATCAACTTTGCGAGATATAACTCAAATGGCAGAAATGCTTTATCTATGTCTTAATATTTGACACTACATGTTTCATAACTGACTGCGGAATGTCTACAACAGCTGCATTTTCATTCCATTTTCAGCGACATGACATTCTTCTAATGGACAGTGGTCTCAGAGACTTGACTGAAAAATAGTTCGACAGAAGCCTTTGCGCACCGAAGTTCAGCACAGGTTCAGATTTCCTCCAACTGCACGGACATTATCTTCTCCACACCAACCAGCCGTTTAATATGCATTTTAATAATCACTGAAACACTATCATCTGCAGATAACATATTTTAGCTGTACAGCATCTACTTCAAATTTAATTACATAGCATAAAGCACCCGGTAATTCACACTAATAATAGTTTATTACAAAATATCCTTGCAAACTAATAAATAAGCACATTGATTCTGTTTCAAGCCCTAGTGAAAATGAAAGCCGACACTCCATGGACCTCTATGCCTTTAAGATAATTCCTACTTCATAAAATACTGATACTGTTAAATAATACAGAATCAGGCATTTAATATTTGACTTGGCCACAACCTAATGCATTTTCCTGGATGAGGATTTAAGCAAATCAAATGACACAGCATTTCTTTCAGTAAATAACCTCTTCTGCACCACCTTCCTGCCTAACGCCATTAGAGCAACATGTTTATCTTATCTGCAAGTGAATCACTTACCATGCAAAGGTTGTTCCAATGATAAAAAAATAGAACATATTTTACAAAGGCTTTATTTAAATGTTTTTATTTTATTAATATAATTTATAACAAAAACTGAAAGAATTATACTTCAGTGCCCCAATATACACGTACCAGCATCATATATTTACTGATTTCTCTTGATAACTTTAGTTTAATAATTCCCTTACATCCCATAAAGCAAATCCATACCAATACAGCATGATCCTCATATCAATTCATTTTAATATAAATCTACATATTACTCACACTTATTTAGCAGCTAGTTTTGCTTAAATGATTATAAATGTCAGCACAAACAAAAAGCAGAGAGTGCACCCACCAGTGATTATAATTATCAAAGTGAAACGTTCCTTGTAGGGAAACAGCCTTTTTTATTGTTACTCTTCACAGGAAATTTATACAGCCAATTTTAAAGTTAACAATAAAAAACAACATGTACAACATCTTCATACATCTAGATTTCCCCAACATGCCCTTAAAAAGCTGAAACTAAACTAAACAGCACCACCTGTCGGTGAAATCGAGCAGTCCGTTTCCATAACTGCCTCACCACTGCAAGAATGCAGTAAGCTTGGAGTTTATTCCAGGAAGCAGAGGGCACAGGGCAGGGATACACCCTGGATTGAATCCCAGTCAATAACACTGCACATGCTAACACACTCTACAAGCAATTGAGGGATATCAGTCAACCTACGAAACATGTCTTGGATTTCCGGGAAAAAAACAGATTACCAAGAAGATCCACAGGAGGACATGATGACTGAGTGTGCAAGTGTCTGACAGCGGGACATCTTCTGCTATTCCATCACATCCCCGTACTGCGTGGTTTTAGGACCAGGTTCTGTCGTGGAAGGAGCTTCCTCATCTGTGCAATGAAATTCAACAGAATGAATTAAAATGGTCTGGGGAAGAAGGAGCACGCCATTTATTCTGGGAACGTGAGCAGCTAGCGGTAGGTAAAAACTGAGAATTGGTCCAGGTTAGATGAAATAAATCAAATGTTTCATTCAGATACCAAACAAAGACAAAAAATTCAAGTCATTATCTTTAACAGTTTTTGAGACACAGTTGTTGGGGCACCTCCTGACGTGATGAGTGGATACCTCACTTTTACTTCTACAGTGTTTATTGTGGGATTTCACTATGACAAAAACACCTTGTCTTCCAAGATTTATTTTAATACCCAGTTTATTGTGTGTGTGTGTGTGGGGGGGGGGTTATAGACTTCTGTGGGAGATTCAGGGGTGAAACTGGTTGAACCGCTGAAAAATCGTTGTATTTCAATGAAGGACTTCAAGTGCAGTTTTTGAAAAAAAATAAGGAATCGGTTGGCAAAAAGAAATATCCTTCATTTTTGCAAAAAAAAAAATAAAATTGATATGCGACATTTCTGGACAGTAAAATAAGCTGAATCTGACACTTTCCTCCCAACAATGTGCTTACCGGCCAGTACCTAATAACTGGGGGCGAAAGGCACTTACTCTCAGGAGCCCTGTCCGGGTAGCTGCCCGTTTCCAGATACATCCACAGGTCCGAGCACTTCTGGGTCTCCCAGCGCGTCACTGTGTAGCTGCAGACTGAGCCGGCCACTGGGGCAGGGAATGATGGAAGAGTGGGTAAGAACAAGGAGCCAAGATGGCTGAAGGATGGGGAAAGAATGCAGGAAGAATTACGTTCCTAAATGAGGAAAGTGTGAGCCGGACAGCTTGGTTAGCCAGCATCCCTGGAGCTGTGGGGGTTAAGGGCCTTGCTCAGGGGCCCAATGGTGACTGATTACTCAGCCAACTACGAGATGAAACCCCATGACCTTACAGACGAGGGCACAGATCCCAAACCTACTGAGCCACACACTTCTTATTTAGAGATATTTAATAAAAGCATTTCCTTAAAATGTCTAAAACTCCTGTTTGAAACAACCTTCCAGTAAACCCAAAGAAGAAGCAGAGGAACAAGCCCCTTAATGGTTGTAACGTCCTAGATCCTTCCTACAATCAAACGTGAGTGGAAATTCATTGAAGCCTCCTGAAAACTTTATTCAAAACCATGAAGCTTGTGTTGTATTTTCTCCATGAGGCAGGTATTCAAGCACATGTCTCTCACCCACTGAGAGCAGCAGGTTCCACTGAAGTGGATAATGGAGCCTCCTCTGCAGGGCCTTCTGCAAGGCGAACAAGCCCGCTGTGCCTGTGGACAAGCAGCAGGCAAACATGTCAGCAGCAGGGGCAATGGGAAAATAGCCAGGCTGGAGAGATCGAGCTCACTGTTCTCACTATGATCACGACCAAAGGGCCGAAGAATGTGGGGGGGAAAACGCATCCAGTCCTAGTTTTGGTTCTGCACTCACCGAAAATAAAGGTCCCCATTCCTGTCATGAACGCACGTGACTGGCATGCAGCGTAATGCTGCAAACCCTGAGAAAGCAAAGAAATAGCAAATTTACTGGCATGAAAACAGGGCTATTTCTTCCAGCCCTAATGGGATCAGCCAACCAGGAATAATTTGAAACTTTATTTTTACTGAACACATGAAAACAAAACGACGGAATGTTAAACCAGATAACCGACCGTCAGCTTGTTGTGAATTGTCAGCAAGATACTTTTCAGCTAAGTATGGATTCTTTCCTCAGTTACAGATACTTCGAAGAAAAGTGACTAGCAAAGGTCTTAAAAGTACTAAATGTTAATGCACACCGGATGTTTTGCAGCCACTGCATCGTCGACCTTGGAGATCCCGAGATTGACCATCCCTTTCGGCAGGCAGATTTCGGTGGAGGATGGGACTCCTTAACCACCGCAAATCGGTCTACGTGAATCTTCTAAACACGATCGTCGTTATCTACAGGTATTCGTTTACTGTTCATCATAGATGTCAGCAAAGAGTATCGGCCGGCGTTCTGCTTCCGAGTCACCGTGCGGATCCTGTCTAAAAAGAGCACTGCGGCTTCTTGCGGAGCGGAGTATAACGTTTCGATGACGCAGAGAACACGATCTAAACGAAACCGAATAGGGCTTTTCCTGATTAGCAATGCATGATCAGCGAGTGTTACAAGTTTATCAGTTTTAAAAATGTTAGCAGATTTACCTTACTTACTTTACAGTGGTGCGGCAGTATTTAATTTTTGGTTTAAAATACATGAGTATACTGAAGGGACAATAGAAAAAAAATCCCACTTCACTGAAAACTATTTTATTAAAAGATCTACATGAATAGGAACAAGTTACGACGTCATTTATACAGTTCGTACAAATACAAGGACACTTAAACTAACCACTTAACCCCATAAAATGCAACATCTATGATTTCCCGCACTGGTACGTGCAGTTTTAGATGGACTGGCGATCTTAAATTGCCCTCAATTATTGTACCCCAGATCTCCTGAAATTTCAAAAACGCTGAACTGGAGTAAACAGTTGTGTTAAAGGGATGACTCGATGTCTTCATTAATTGTTCCCCAGTTGAGTATAATCCATTACAGGATTTGCACCTGTCACTCGCGACAGGAACAACCTTTGACAGACTCCTTCCTCCTCCTGCCCGCTTTCATCCGAACTTTGGTAAGACAGTGTCCCCCTTTCATTCCCGTCTCTATGCCGGGTCCCCTGAGGGAGAGGGGGGAGAACGGGAAGGGGGGAGGGAGGACACACACATTTGGATGAGGAACAAATATGTAGCAGATATATGGAGCTAAGCCAAGATCACCATCTAGTGGCGTCAAAAAATACAGCGAATGGTTCATAAAGTGTGATTTCGTCCATCATTAGTAAATATAATATTTAAAATTATAAAATGTACCTGCATTAATATAACCGTATGTAGGAACTAGTCTGCTGATACAAAGCATCGCTTATTATTCTGTGGCTTAGATAATACTAACTGTTAACAGCTCATTTTACCCATTCATACAGGTTAACATTTTACTAAAATAAATCAGTAAGCCCCTGGTTCAACAGTACAACAGAAAGACCCTTTCTGGAACAAAAAAATAGCAGCCTGATGGTGAATCCATATCCTTAACCACCATGCTGCCTCTTTAGAATGTCCTGTGAAGGAATATTTGGACCTTCCAATATAGACCCAATGAAGAATACCTGAAATTAAGGGTGTACTCATACTAGGCGATCCATACGGTGCCTGAGCACGTTTGACCCCCAAAGTCCAGTTCGTTTGACTGGTGTGATTGCGCCGTGCTGTGCCCGGTTTGCTGAACTGTGTCCAGGCCCGCTTGAAGAGGTGGGGGAGTGGGGAGGGGGGACAATTGTGCCACTGGGTGTAGTGTGAGTATGTCCTTAGTATCGTCATGTTGAGCTGTTACCTATCTTTGAGAATGTGGCTTTCATTGTGTCGGGTCCAGGCTGTCAGAGAGGGGCTGTCCGGCTCTAAGCTGCCCCTCCTCACCACCCTCGCTGGTTTCCATGGTGAGAACAGGGTAGAAATGTAGATGTTTAAAATGTCAAATGCCAGCGCATCTCTCCTCGTAAAAGTGTTTCCTGACAAAGTACTGAGAAAGGGCTCTGACAGTAGTCACACTGTCATATGGTGGTGGGAGCCGGCCTGCCACGTCTGCTGAGGATCCCAAGCCACTTACAGACAGGCTGGGCCATCAGTGGTAGGCCTTGTCTTTCCCTGGATGTTTCTGCTGGATCACTGGACACCAAAAGCCCTTGGGCTACATGGAAAATTTGGAGGGGGGGGGTGGTATTTCAGGGGTACAAAGAGAATAACAGAGTGATGACATTACATAAAACTTACTTCAGTAAATGTGGGCTTACGCAAAAAAATATTGAGATTATTTTACGGAAGCGGTAACAGAAAGAGACCCATAAGTAAATTTACACATCATCTTCTCATTTATTCAATATGTGTTCTCTAGTACATATTAGTCGTATATTTTTGGCTTATCTGTTCTTTTTATAATGTGTCTTGATATGCTGCTGGAATTTAAATCCAAGTTACGGATAACTTGACTTACACTAGCGTTTGTGGAACTGCATGTATAATTTCACTAAACCGACTTACATCTAATTGGCCTTATACTACATTTTCTTTTGTTTGCTTGATGTAAATGTTACAGTAGTTTTGCTGATAGAGCGATTTGATTGGGCATTTCAGAAGAGAGGAGACGCCCTCTAGCTCCCCCTATCTGCGGCCGCCTGTCATACCTTCTCCAGGGTTGGTTCTTCTCTGCACAGAGGCGAAGTTTTCGGGCCCATTGTTCTGTGGCTGTGGGGCCAGTGTGTCCCCCCCTGCCTTGGGGTGTTGTGGGGGCCCAGGGAGCTTGTGGAGTAAACCTCTGCTTGCTGGGATCATGGTGACCCTCCCACTGGCATCTCGCCCAAGGTCAGTAGCATCACCGCTACTCAGGGTTCCCAGAGCAACCTAACACCCCCCCACCACACGCAAGCATATAAATTTAGTTTTATGTTAGTGCTCCTTGGCCTGAAACATGCCTTCTATAAAAAAGTGACATAACTCTTGCCAGGTCAGTTAACTGGCTGTTAATAAATATGTATACACTTGAAGCAGTGTGGATTCCATACTTTAAGAAAAGATCATAAACAAATAATTTACAAGTATCTCTTATAGCGTAATTTCAGACTTGCTGTAATGCTTTTGCCCCCTATAATATTTTACATATATTCATATATCTGATGCTCTCATCCAAAGTCACTTCCAGTAGAGGGAAGGGTTACAATTAATCTGTGTTATTTATCAAAAAACAGCCCTTAAAACTGACACATGCAGCTGTCTGCCTGTGTTTGATGTCTCAGAAGCACATCTCAGAGTCTGGCTGCTTTCAGCAGCCTGGGAAATCGCTGATCACCTGTACATAGAGATGAGTTTAAAAACAGTCCAATGTTAGTCCAAGACTAGTCTTAATGGATTCACAATTGTCTTTTGTCCCTTTTATAATATTGTACATGTGATTGTCTTTTATACCAAAAAAACAATAAAATAGTCACAGCCTCCAATATTTAATAGGTCGAACGTCCTTGCAGTATGATCGCATTTATTGCAACGTCACTGACTACATGATGGTTGTGTAAATACCTGTGCTTGTTTCGGTCGCTCTTTGTCTGCTTGTGGCACTGAAGGGTCAGACGGGTCCCTGGTGGACGGCTATGAGGAGGTCGTGGCTTTTTGACCTCTCCTCTGACCTCCACGTCCTCCCTGACCTTTGTGAGCTCCTTGAGGTCCTTGGCTGACTGGAGAGAGGCAGGAACTTGTGGGTGTGGCACACAGGAGGGAGTATATAGGCACCTGTAGGACAGACCACAGCTGTGTGTAGTGGGTTAGTGGGTATCTGCTCCAGAAGCTTGTGGGTTCAAATCCCATGACCAGTAGAGTAAGCATATTGCAGTTGGGCTCTGCATTCAATTGCTCCAGTCTGACCCTGTTCTCTGATCCTCACTTGTACATCGATTTGGACTAATGTGTCTGCTAGAAGTAATAAATGGCATTTAGACAGACAGATAGACGCACAGACCCTGCAGGCGGGACCCGACCCCAGACTTGCAGTTTTTAAGCTGTAAACACATAAAGATTTGAATGTCTGCCTATGCAACCTCCAAATACCCATCCAAGCCAACAGCAGTGCAGCATAACTGAGACACTGGCACCATCTGTTTCAGTTCCCCTCTGTTTATTGGTGCCAAGGCCCTCAGCATGTTACCCCAGGGTGCGTGAGTATCTGTGGCGGGCCGTCCTCTTGGTGACCGGCTGGCTCTGACAGCGCCCTTCGGAAGTGATGGCGGCGACCGTGCAGGTGTAGGCGGTCGGCAGCAAGCCGTCGGGCGGTGTGGGCGCGCTCCGTGCCCAGGTAGGCCACACGGCCGTTCAGCCGCAGCTCGTAGTTGAAGAGGCGGCCCAGTGGCAGGGAGGGGGCGGCCCAGCACTGTCACCGTCAGCCTGCGGGGGGCGTGATCCCGGCCGTCTGACGTGCGTGTCTCCACCCAGGTGCTTAGCCCCACCGCAGCCCCGGGCCCCACCACACGTACGCCAAGGCGGTACAGGGTGCCAGGGGAGAGGCCGCGCACGATAGCCCTGGCACAGAGCAAATAGGCATGGTTGGAAGGGGGCAACCAGGGGCAAATTAATGCATAGGGTATCCCAAGGCTGTAGGAAAATCAGGGGCCGTGGCTGGCAAAACAGGGGCCCCACCCTGCCTCAGGGAAAATAGAATAGTCAGTGCAATCCCCAACCCCCCCGATTGGCAGATTTTACAGCCAACAATTCCCCCATGTCAGCCTAGGGCCCCCAAAAAAGTTAACAGAGTTAAATGCATGGAGAGAAGCTTCACTTACCTAACCCTAAACCTAACCCTAACCCAGGCTTTGTAGTTGTACCCAGCAAAGTTTCACCGTGGTATAACTGGTACGACCTGGGCTTCAGCCCACCCTCTGGTGCAGCCCAACTCAGCTTGACCTGGGTCGCCGTGCAGCCAATGACACACAGCTGCTGCGTTTGGCCTGACCCTAGTTCCACCCCTTCTCTTTCGACAACCAGTAGAGCGTGCTCGCTGCTAGGGCTGATGTCGTTGTCAGCAGTGGAATGGATGATGCAAAGCGAGAGAGTCGATTGGAACTGGAGTGCGGAAAGGGGTAGGGTCACGTGACATTGGGTACCACGGTACAGCAGCCTGTCTTCGTCCAGGAGACTGGAAAGAAAAATTAAGATTAGCCAGATGTTTTCTAAGAATCCCCAGTTGGCACACAGGAGAACGAACCCCTATTTCTCACCTATACGTGACCTCCAGGCTGCTCTCAGGCATGCACTCTGCCCACGAGACCATGTAGGAACCTGATGTCAGGCGCTTTGTTGTCGGAGGAAGCGGTTTGGGGAGACGCTGTAACTTCCTCAGACAGAAGCTGACTTCCTCCTGCAGCTCCCAACCAAGCGACCATGAGCTTCACAGAGCCTGAAGGAAGGACAGTTAAAGAAACCCAGTTATCCTCTCCATTCTCAGAAAAGCAGTCCAGTTCACTGCTTACTAAT